CTTACAAGCAATATAAAGTCTTCTTTCTAGTTTGGAACTTCCTTGACATCTTATCGAGGGTTCACGATGAGCAAGTTGATTATGAGTTGATATAGGTACAATTCACTTAATAGTGAGCTAGCTAGCTCTGTGGTTTTCGTAAAAGTGCTAATGTCCGATGTGAATCACTAAACTTAAATGAGTTGTAATGTTCGAACTTTGTAAATGCTCCTGGTCAAATATCTGAAGTTTTACTATTGGTAAACGTTATAACAATCACAGTTATAGCTTCCGAAGTTTTATAGCACACTGAGTATAACGAACGAATAATAGATACTCTCATTGGCGCGTCGGGTTGGTTATATTTATAGCCGTGTGGAGGCGTTCTAGAAATTTCAATTTACGTAACAATACAATTTAAGCGTTTACGTACACTTATATGTTGTTGATTCCTACTCACGAGAATCTTCTACAACTTTGGAGAATAGGCGGGAGTTTCGCAATACATATCTAACAGTATAAGCTAATCATGTTTTTAAATATAAATTTAATCTAAACAAACGTTGATATTAAAATAAATATATAATAACAAATTCGTTACACAGTAATAAACATTATTAACAAAGTTAATGCAATAGATATACTAGACATTTCAACAGACTCTGATAACTAAAGCAATTCCCAAGAAAGCATAGATTAAATCTCACTTGTGGGTCTTATTAATTATGATTTTCTGCTTCATGCACAGTTGGGAGAGTGACAAAATTTAAAATAAGTTATAGTATAACTTAAAAGAGATCGACAACGGCTTTATTAAGCAGTAAGCTTGCTGATAAAATGTTATTCATGACTGCTAGATATAAGGTTGTGGTATACCAAGAGAAAACCTAAAGATTCAGCAAAAGAAGTCCCACGTTGGGTCAGCAGAAAGTTTAAAATCTTACAATGCTATAATCTGGGATTTTATTCCCCATGGCGGATACCTCGAAGATAACGTATTATGTAGTTTTGCGCTTTAATAAACAAATAAAATTTCTGATTAAACTATGAACGCTTTCTGCAAAATGATTTTTGAATAACGCTTGGTAAACTTTCAAGATGATTTAAAAAATAAATTTAGATAAAATATTCATTAAGGTCTTTCATTAACATGCTAAAAAGAAAGTTGAAAAACATTTGTATCAAACTGCACGAAAACGTTTAACATTTACTGCATAAATTACACTAATTTTCAGCCAGACCTTCTATTAATAATGAAGTTTGTTGGTTGTCTTTTACAAAGATAAAATCATTTTGGTATTTGAGAAAAATATATTTTGGTCCATTGTTCACTATAAATTCCAGAAAATTATAAATGTGCTCATAATTGATATTTACAAATGAGTAAATAATAACTAGTGATAGAAAATGATTGCTTGCCTTTAATAAAATTGTTCTATAGTATTTTTCCTTAGTGATAATAAAACCTTTGGACCATACTTTCTATGTAATGATATTCCCCAAAAAAATCTTTCAACTTTTTAAATATATTTTTTAGCTCCGAACAAGATCTCAAACTAAAAATCACATATGCGTTATTCTTAGGTGCACTGATTACCTTACAGGTAAGAATAGCAATGACAATAGTAAGAGGAAGGGCAGAAAGTGTTATGCGGAGTTAAATTGAATTTATTCCTTAACTGAGTTAGAAAAAGAAATTAAATACCGTGTAAAAACAAAGTTAAAACATTCTTTGTTCATCTGCAACTAAAGGAGATGACTGGAGCACTTTTACTTGACAGGAGAAAAGCCTGGATGAAGATTGATTTTCTCGCAAGACTAAGACTGAGAGATTCTACCTATAATTATAAAAACAAAACAGCGCCATCATCTCTCCTAGAGTGCATCCACTACCAACGT